TCGTTTGTTGGTGGCGGAGTGCTACCGAGTTCGCCCGTTTCGAACATCGGTGGTGACGATCTGATTTTCAGGTCGACAGGTCGACTTTGTGTCGCCTTAGTCGACTTCACCGTTTGTTGAGCTTCAGTTACTCGAGTCGACTCGCATCCAGTTGGCGAAGGTCGGCTCAACGGTGAGATAACCCGTTCGTTGGGTGCTGGTATGCTAGTCGGCGATCCAGCTGGGCGAGGCCGCTTCGTGGCGGTACCTCGGAGTCTTTGTTCCACTTGGTGATATGGTTGGCTGGACGGCCAAATCCGACTTTGTGTCGGTTGGTTGCCGTTCCAGACTAGTCGGTTGCTTGTTGCCGACTTCCATCTGTGGATCCACTGTGGCCGGTTTCAGCTGACCGACCCTCTCAATTGGTGAAATCCTTCCGACCTGTGTGGTCGGTTGGACGTTGCCGGCTTCTGTTGTCGGCTTATCCATTCCGGTCGAGGTCGGTTGTTCGACCTCTCGAGTTTGGGGCAGGTCGGCCTGCTGTTGACCGACTTCTCTTGCCGGCGGCTGGTCGACCATTTGTTGGTCGGCCACCGTAGTCGGTTGTTGTTCACCAACTTGCTTAGTCGGAGATTTTCGCTCGGCCTGTGTGGTCGGCGATTTCCTTCCGACTTGGTTAGTCGGAACATCCATGTTGGGCGAGGTCGGCTTCGGCACTTCTTCCGTCCTGTTGGGTGAATGCCGTCCGAGCTCGGTTGTCTTTGTGGCTACCGAGCCTTGAGCTCTGTGTGAGCTCGATTCCAGGTCGGTATGAGACAATGTAGTCTCAACTTGCGGCTGTTCTACATCCCCCTTGGTCGGGTGGGACGGGGCTGCCATGTCAGCTGGGGTTTCCAGGAATGTTTTATCCCTGGCGTCCTCGAAGCTGTCATCCGAAGTTGGATTCGAGTCGGCAAGGAGGATCCGCTCGTTGCGCTTCTCCCTTGCTTCGGCCGACTTAGTCGAGTCGGTTGAGGACGGCTGACTTTTGTCTTGACCGTCTTGGCGTATCTGAGTGAGTACTTCCCGGTCATATTCGCACGCCGAGAATAGTCCGTGTTGAACTTTCTCGCGTACTGATCTTCTCGGGGATTCGACATTGTTGTCGAGTCAGGTCGGCTCTGGTGGAGCCTTAAAGGTTTAATCAGTTAGAGAGAGAAAGTCGAACAATCTTCTGTGTGAAGATGTTCGGCAAAATCAGAAGATGTCTTTTTGTTCAGGAACTTCCAAGGGTCAGGATCGTCCGGTGAGATGTTGTTGTTGTTGTTGATGTGTCTGTTGGTGACTCAGTACACAGGGTATTAGTATACAGTACTATGGTACAGTACAGTACGTAATAGTAGTACGGTGTAGTACGTCCTATATTACTGTGCTGACCAGTGTGACGTAACAGGTTAAGTGGTCTTGCACTTCTGCCTACGTCACAGAATGCGAGCCGCGTGCAAAATTTGCAAAAAACGATGAATCACGCCTATGTTAGGCTATGGGAACTTTCCCCTGCACTCTGATTGGCTGCCTCTTAAGTACTGATAAGCGGTCGTTATGACGTCACAAGGAAGTTCGAGAATTTTCGCGCTATTTTCCGCAAGAAAAACAAATTATTTTAGGTCGGCTAGAAAGTTTATCTAGTCGGATTTTAAAGTTTTTAACCGTTAGAAATTAGTTTTATTAATTAAGAAAATTTTCTGGTGGTCGAAACACCGTTAGAAATCAGAAATGAGAGAATTTCCGACCTGTTGCCGGTTAGCCTTTGTCTAACTGTCTAGACAGGTTCGTTGACCTAGCAGGTCGGTTCTCGACCAAAAGCAAAATTCCGAGTCGGTTTCTCCGTCGAAAATCACTTTTTCACCGTTAGAAATTTTAGATTTACGGATAGAAATTGTTTTCTACCGCTAAAAAATGAAATGCCGACCTAGTTTCGGCTAAAATCGACCTATAACCGTGACTTTACCAGTGTCGGTGTCGGTGTCGGTTCCGGTCGATTTCCTCCGTCCGAGGTCGGAAATCCGTCGTTTCCGAGCTGAAATCCGCGAGTAAAGTTGCGGGTCGCTGTTCAAAGCGAAGGTCCCCGTATAATTGGAGTATTCCTATCGCGCTGCAGACTCTCGTTCGAGTCTGATCCGTCAGTTGGGAGAAGAAAAGTCCGTGCTGTTGGGAAATGAGATTCCGCTCTTCAATGTGGAAGAGACCAAGGAACTGTGCTCACCAGCTGGGCAAGAATCACTTCAGTGATCCTCGTTTTCCCCAGCTGTAAGACGATGCGATCAATCCGATCAAAGTCAAGGGCAGAGATTGCTTCAGCAATCTATCTGACAGTGACTTTCAGGTTCCTCACAATTTCTCCGTGAATTGAGCCTTCACCGTCTCCTCAAAGGGTCCGTCGAAAGAAAACCAAACGATCCTGCTTACCATGTAACAGGCAAGCGCGAGGAGATCACGAGTGATGCTTTATTGTACAAATAAAGGAACAATGCTGCGTAATAGCAGGGAATGCAAGAACAAAGCACTGATGGCTAAGCAAGTGAATGCTAGAAAAGCTCTTGAGCGTTCGCCAAGGCGTGAAAGAAGCAACTGGCGGCAAGCACGTGCTGTGTGCCATCAGCTGTGTGATGATGCGCAGACTGGACTCAATCCAACGCGAGCGTATGAACGCTGAGTCATACCGCGAGAGAGGAACGAGAGAGAGCAAGTATGCTCAGTGTGTGCGCTGCGTATATCCGCTTCAGCGGATATGAGTGCAGTGCAGCAGCACACGTACGTACAGCGAGAGAGGCGATATGGCAAGCGTGAGTGCAAATACGTCCATGGTGGGCCGTATGCACCAGGCGCAGTCATGTGCCTCTGACAAAGGATAAACTTGCTTTATGGGATGTCCTGTTTACACAAATTCCGTCATATCTTTCGGAAGGTGTTCTTTCAAACCACGAAGCGTGAGGGGTTCGCCAGGGCCGGCAGGATAGGTTTTGTCTCTGCGCTTTCCTTATTCCGAACATCAGATTCGATAATTGTATACTAAATATTCAGGCGCTTCTCTTGTTCCCTGTTTCCGTCCGTTTTCTGTAATTTACTAATCCATAATTATTAGTTATCAATAACAAGACTTTTGGTACAGCTCAATGCATTAAACTTTTTAGAAGTTTATTACCATCAGAACTTTGTAACCGGATAATCGTGAAAACCGCTTAGGTGGGCGGAAGAAAATTCAGTCCTATGTATACAAATTATGTTCCATGTTAAAAAGCAATGCAAAAATGTGTTTGCAAGAGAAAGTTCCTGCAGATGTTATGTACCGGGTCACTTCCCTTATAAATGATACGGTGCCGGTTCACGGTACTGATTTTCATATACACTGATGTCCAGCAAAGCGTTTATTACTGCGCACTCTGAAACACGTTGTTGTAGCGTTTCATAGCATTCTACAGTCGAATGATTGGTATCCATTGGCCGGGAAACCGTTGGTGCGCGCAACGTCCAACAAGATCGTGGAATAATGTCGCCCTTGGTACACGCCTGTAGCGGTCGTCGAAGTCGACTTTATATGGGAAGCAGCGACCGTTTCGACAGAGTTAGCATCCCAAGCCCAGCGCACCCCATTTTGCCACACAAACAGTGTGCAGCCGTCTGGGCGTCGCTCGTTCGTGTGTGAGGTGCCGCGCGGTTCCGGTTTTGCGGGAAAGCCGGTTCAAACGAGAGCGCGGCATGCAGTGTTATTTAGCCGCCATGCTGTGGATGCCTGTCGGTGGAGAACGCGCTGCATAAACCGTGGCGTGCATGTCGGTCGAGAGGTTACAGTCATGTGGGTCACAAACAACTCCGCCAAAACAGAGGCCAAGCGAAATTTGCCACGTGTCATCTTCGAGTAAATTCCCAATGTGGGGAAGGGCAGCTTGTGTCTGTACCATGCATTTGGCAGGCTGGTGGCTTGGCGCATGCCAGTATTGCCAGATAATTTAATGAGAATAATAGTAACTGCCTGGCGGAAGGTGCAGTAGTGAACAATCTAACTGCGGAGCGCAATTAGGCAATCCGATAAACGTAAAGCAGTGGCCATCGTTTTAAGCACAAACTACGGGTTAGCTTTAGCTGTAAGACAGAAATTACCGGACAACGGGACAAGCTTGTACAATATCCAATCGAACGTGTCCTCCTTCAACTGGAAAAAAATCGGTTCCGGTCACAGGAAAAACTTGCACATTTTTAAGCCAATTTCGAACAGATCATTCCAGATTCATTGCCTTACGACCTTCTAAAATATGCGGGAACCAACCTTTGTGCTATTGGCCAGTATTGGGGTTATACTATATATGCACCGGAAACAACGTGCCATTTTTTCTATCATTGTTCCGTTTTTAAGCATCCTTCATTTTACTGTATTACGAAAACTCCTGGAAAATGCTGGATTTAAAGACCCAAGGTCTCTTAACAGTATTGTACGAGTAATAAATTTTGATTTGATAAAATTATTAATTTAACTGATAATTTGATAGAAGTATAGGTAATTTGATGTCTGATAGTGACCAGTGACTAGTGACCACCAATAAAAGTCTGTTAGTTCTACATTGTACTCGTACTCTGCAGTCTGTACTATGATTCCAGTTGCACGGCCGACAAATTAATTTTTTCACCAATATTCTCCTCGCTTTGCTTTCTTTGAAACTATGTAATTTACTAAATATTATTATTCTCTTCCCACTTCGTTCCGTGCTGCATCTCTAATTTACTAATAAATACGGAACCTGTTCGTGACCCGTGACAGAAAAGACGGCTCACGTTAGTCACGTACAAAAAACGGATTATTACCGAACCATCTCAAACATTGCAGTAGATTAGCAGAATCAAGACAAACACCCTAAACAATATCTGTAGGTATTTTTATTTACTCCCTAGAACAATCAGTCTATCCACAAGAGGGCTAGTCGAAACATTTCGTGCAGGCTACGCCAATACAAGCTGTGGCAAGGCGATTATTCGCCGTATTCCTCTTATTCTTCTTCCATAGTTTCGTCGAATTCGTGGCCCTGGACATCTTCATCGTCCTCGTCAACTTCGGCATTTTCTTCATCATCAAAATTGTCATCATCATCATCTTCGACGTTTTCGTCTTCATCCATATTCTCGTCATCTTCGAAATTTTCGTCTTCATCCATATCCTCGTCATCGTCGAAATTTTCGTCTTCATCATCTTCGTCATCATAATCTTCAGCATCTTCCTCAGCATTGTCGTCATCTTGGACATCGACTTGCTCTTCATTATCTGCGCCATATCTGTACTTATCCAACCTGATGGAGAATTTCAGTTCTCTAGGAAGCACGTCTTTCAGAGCGCGCAGAGTAGCGATGGTCAGCGTGGAGACATCCAGATCTTTCAGATCATCCACCGTCCAAGTTTGTTCGCGGTATCGCGTCGTCAGTCGCGCATCACAACTTTGGTAATCGTTCAGATACTGTCAGCAGTAAAAAAACACGCTTTAGATGCCAGTCATGACTTTCAGAAGATAACAATATCATCGGATAATTACAATTTACAAATTATAGTTAGTTACTATTTCTCCTCATAGAATTCGAAGATGCTATGTACTCGAAATGTTCTACATGCATCTCCGTACAGATTCGAAGCTGAGAGGTCTCACGTGAGTCGTGACACCACTTTTTTCCGAAATTTAAAATGAAGGCGATTTCTCATAACTGGTGTAGCTAATTCGAAATATAGAAACCCGCAAATGTTTATTGACGTTTTCGAATGTTTCACCTGAGCAACCATGCTGCGCAGTTTCAGCGACCCGGTGCGAATCCATTCCGCCATCTTCCCGAAATCCAGTCCATCGCGCGACAGACTGGCCTCATAGAGATCCCACAACTGTGCTTCAATATCCGCTGCATCCAGCGCAACCGTACCGTCCGCGATGGTTGCCGTCGTGCGCCAAAAACATTTGAACTTACACATGCGCAGCCGCAATCCATCGCAGAGGGGCGCCAAGTCGCGGAACGCCGCCGCCAGACGGTGGAGGATCCCTTGGCCTACATCCTCCAGCCCCACTATGTTGTCCCGTCGGATACGTGCGCGCCATTCGAATTCTACATCGTGGAAGATCAGCTGCTGGATGCGGTTATGGCGCAGCATCCATTTAACCACCGCCAATGCACCGTCCAGTTGTTCCCCATGCATCCGTGCAACGATCAGCCGTTGCGTCGAGCCATCAATGCATTTTATTAGACCGGCGACGGCGGCGTACGCGTAGATAAATTTATCCGCTTTCATGGGAAAGCACAGGTTATTGCGGAAGGAAACCCAGACAGTGTGGCCGCTGTCCGCGCCGGTCAAGACGGAATTCCACAACCAGCACACGCGTCGCAGTTTCACGCGGCTGACGCTCTCCAGTGAGTGGAAGATTTCGCGCAGCAGATGCGACTCGGGTGGCAGTGTACAGTTCATTTCCAGCTGACCGTCATCTCCCGGACGATAACGTTTCCCGCGTAAACGAACCGCACAGCTAGTTGACGGCTCGGCAACACGCTGCTTCCGATCTTTCCAGGGCTGGTTCCGTCCGAATCTCTGTCGGCACGACTCATATATTTCTTCCTATCCAAAACATACACAGAGTACACGACATACAGGGCCGCATGCTCGCCTTGAATGTTTAGTAATATTTAGTATGGAAATGTAATACAGCCCTGGCGCACCAAGTTTGGACAGTTGCGTAAAATAAATTCAAATAAATTCCCGTACGGCATTTTATCTTTATGTTTGTACTTTTCTAGCATAACTTTTTATTGCGAATCTGATAGTGCTGAAGTTGTTGTCGTTTGATACGACAGTAATGAGCCAGATGGCAACTAAGGTGGCGGGGTGGGGTAATTTTTTGGCCGCTTTTAACTGCCGCTCAAAGAAATGCACGAGTTCATATATCTGCGTTTAAGTTTTCCAGAATTATTGCGTGACACAATGGGGTGTATTTTATAGGTGAGCAGAAAATTCTTGCGCGATAGGTGCTCGAGGTCACCTCGCAGGAAGGTGCATCTTCCATAAACTTGTATGTTAAAGAGCACCTACAGAGAAATGCTGTTGCCTAGAGCGCAGATCGCATCAGACAAAATGTTAGTGCATAGATGAAATGTAGGAAGTGCCTGTTAGAAAACCTCGCTATTAGTTGGTAGTTCCTAACCTCCTCCAATTTTAGAATTATTCTCGAATGAACTTGATTATTTCTCAGAAAGCAGTGCGATTTTTGTACCAAAAATTAAATTAAACAGCTAGCTCCCGTTCCCTGTACTTCAGCTTTTGGCATCGAAACAAAATTTTGAAAGATACTGCAGACCAAGAGCTATCATGCAACAGATAAATAAAAATTTTTGACTTTACTGTTGAAAGTAGAGGAATCTGTATGACTGTCCAAACTTGGCACGGCAGGGCTGTAATTTAACAACAATACAAGGCTACACACAAGTTAAAACACTGTATACAGTTTTCAGTTCTTATTTACCAATGGTAATGTTAAATAAGTGCCTCTAAAACTACCAGTCCTGAATAATTTTCATGCGCCTTCGAATGGAAAAAAACTCTACTACCCGGAAAAAAAACTGAAAAGAAGCTGAAAAATAAATATTCTTCCTTTTTGAAGATTAACGGATTTAACCTTCCTTTTATTTGTGCGTAATCTTGATTTTAGAGGTTGCAGAATGAATGTACGAACCCCGCTCAATTGCTCAGCAAAAGCTATGAAATAGTAATATAACTGGCACGTACGCACCACTGCATTTTCTGTAAGGGGCACCGCGTTTTTTCGTTGCAAGTACTTACTTCAGTGTTTGGCTAAGGATCGCGACAATCCGAACATCATCATAAAACTGAAGGTTTTCCCGAAAGTAATCCGATCCCATAGAAGTGGTCGTTGGCCAAAAATTGGTAGGCAGCCGTTGTTCTCGCAGTGCAAAGCATCCCTCCTTCATCGACCGTTGGGCCAGTTCCTCCTCCGACGGTTGGAGGCGCACTTGATCAGAGGAGAAGAGTTCCTCTTGCACTCGACCATCCAATTCGACTGCCGCATACACCAGGCCGACGTCATGAACGTGGAAGAAAAAAGCCCGATGCAGGAGCCGCGCCGGATACCACAGCCACGCGGCACCCGGACGTGAGCGCCACAGCACCTGCACACTGGCGTTCTCCGTCAGCGTGGGACTCCGCTGCAGTTTTGCGTGCCAGCCTCGGTACGACGCCGAGCACGCGGCGACCGACGCGTCAAATAATTTGTCGTAGGGGACCAACTGGGATCGCTGTCCGCTGCATCGGAAATCCACAATCAGCCCGTTCTCCGCTATCTCGATCACGTCTCCGTGTTGGAAGAGGCCGTTCTCCGTCAGCGCATCTACCGAGTTCCAATGGTGCACGGGATAGAAATCAAAACGTTTCTCTCCATAAAGGTGCATTTCCAAGCAAACCAAATTTCAAAGCGCTTAAAAAGAGCAGATTATTATTGGGTGCCAAATACAGGGGACGAAACCGAGCGAATCAAATGACAGCACTTCATTACATAAGATGCAAGAAATATTATGAGACGTTTAATAAAAATCCAGCACTGTGCCGAATGCAGTCGCAGCCGCCATAATGAACACCCAAACGCACCGCCGCGTCATCATCGTCATTAGCGGGCGGTGGAGCATTACGCAGAGCTCACTGTGAGAGCGAACTGTTTGGTGTTTACAGGTTAAACGGACAAGTTTTACAGCTAAATAAAAAAATTACTGGTAATAAAGCCATTTGTCCTGATACGTTCTGAGTAACTGAATCACTTCGATCCTTCTTCGTGCACATCACGAATACCTTACCTCTCTTTCTTCAACAGCTCTATTCGGGTACGCGCGAATTCAACTGCGGGGACACAGTGCTGGCGCGCAACAACGGCAGTAGTGGCTGGGTTACGCTCAAGATATTGATAGTTACCTCGTCCTCGTGAACTTTGAGACCGGCATTATTGAAGCGGAATCGATTTCTTAAATTTGTACGTGGCCGTTTCCTCTGGACCCCGAACGTTGTATCACACCAAGGGGCCTGTATGCACATGGAATTACGCGAGGACGACGGTGGATCGATCTAACCATTAATGACCACTTGTACGATATATTCTCCATGCTGCGACTGGATAGTCCAGCTGGCTCTTGCATCTCGCACCGCTGTCGCACCGCAAGACCACCGGCAGTCCCGAGTTTGTCTGTGCGACCCACAACTGTTGCGTGTAAGAAATACATTGTATGTGGTGGCTTTTTGCCGAGCACACTGCATCGAAGCGAGACGGTCGATCCTAATCAGTTTGCTGTCAAATGTTGGGCGTTTGTGAGTGTCGATGTCGACATGATCATGTTTGTTTACGCTGAAATACATGCTGACGTCACCGGGAGCTTGGTTCTTCGTGAGACAATAAAGCAATCGAAATCGAGGCTGTTCGAATTAGAGCGTGCTACGACCGGAAGTACGTACGGATATCTCGTGTATATTGCTGTTATTGTTATCACCTTATCTATGTAGCAGCCGGACACGTTAAGCCTCGGTTACTACGTTCGTGTATTCGGTTAACTCTTTGCACTATTACAAACGGTAAAACTATGAAGTATTAGACCGTAGACATCACAGAGCGACATGGAGTTGGTCTCAATCGAAGAATGGATTCTTGGGCAGGCATACCATCGGGACCAGCTTGTGGTCGTTACATCCCTTTTTGCGTTTCCGGCCAATGGACCAAGCTAAAGTGGTGGAGCAGTGGAGCTCTCTAGCCTCGAGCACAACTATTGTCTTACCGGTAGCGACTGTATGCATACAAAGGTTAGCCGTGTGGGTAGCTGTAGGTGGTGCTGCGGAATCGCGATAGCAGGTCAATCTTGATGAAATACCGTAGTGCATATGAAGCCGCGTATTACATACTATGTAACAATATCATTAATATGTAATACGCGGCTTCATATGCACTACGGAAATACCTATGTATATAAAACGCGCTTGGCTGACTACGAGGTATAACTTCATCTCGCTAATTGAATGTTAAAGCCTCGGACCGTTCCTTGGTAAGTATAACAGAAATTTCAAACATTTGTGCTGGTATTTAGTAATTACCCTATGCCATTCAATCAACAAAAGACGTACGATGCAGAAATTTGCAGGCATCAACAGTTTCTACTTTCTACTCTTCCGTGCGTAAAAATTTTGTCGACTCTCCGTACGGTAAGTAATTTTATTTTAGCGGAGTAAAGAAACAAATATCTTGATGGTTAAACATACAGTAAGCTGTAAGATACACCAAAATTACAGTATAACTGGCGTTCAAAAATAGCAAACAATATGCCATCATTCAAACCCCAACACAAGGTTAAGCGAGTCTCTTGCTTCGTATTCTAAAGTCAGCCGCGGAATCTCCGAACAGTGCTCCTTAGTTGATAACAGTGTTGTATTATTATTCGCTTCCTTAGTACATTCCTGCGTCGTCAGCTTCGAAAATAATCCCATTCCCGTCGTCCCACTCTACCGGGAAATGCTCTTGCAGTACACGCAGAGTAATGGTGGTCAGCTTGGAAACATCCACATCTCCAAGATTTTCCACCGTCCACCCATGACCACGATAATTAGTCGTCAAACGCGGATCGTGGCTCTGATAATCCCTCAGGATCTGCAAGTGACAAACATCCACTTTTCAGTGCTTTTACATGCATCTCGCTTTCACGAAACTGGACTACCACGTTCCTTTCATCGCTTAAGGGGAAGTAACCCGTTCGTGTACATCCACGCAGGGGCGTAATCCCCGAAAATTGAAAGGTGGGACAATTTTAATTTGACTAGTTTATATGTGGAAAAATTTGACACGGGGTGTCAAACACCCTAAAATCGAAAATTTTTGCCTCGCGCAAAATTTTTGGGAAAGGGGGGAGTCAAATTCCAAAAAACTGCCGGTTGACAACCCCCCCCCCCATATTACCCCCCTGCATCCACGGGAACTTTCGCTTTCGTGCACTCGCAAACACTTTGTGCCGGTTGGTCCCGTTCACGGTACTGATCTTCATATACATCGATATCCAGCCAAGCGTTTGCTTTTGCGCTCTCCAAACACGTTTTCGTAGCGTTTCATAGCATTCTACAGCCGAATGATTGGTAACCATTGGGCGGTCAACTGTTCGTGCGCGCAACGTCCAACAAGATCGGGTATTAATGTCACGATTGGTATTGTACATGCCGATGCGTTTAAACTTCTCATCCAAATTTTAAATCGCACCATCTCGACACCCGGGCGTTTACGCGAACGAACCGTTGTTAGGCCAATGCAGACCAATCATATATGCGGGTTCAGAATGACACAAAACTGGATGCATACGAAACCAGTACCATGTATTGTGCCGGGCCAGTTTCCTTCACGCCTGTTTCTGTGTCCCATAAATATTTGACCCAAAAATTAAAATTTGACTAAAATAGTATAAAATTCGCTAGTGGCACAGTGGATGGCGGGTAATCGAACTTAAGTTTAGGCTAAGCTAGTAAAAAGATTTCAAAAACCCTGAGTATTTGTATTAATAATTTTCCTACGAGTAAACAGCAAAAAATTGAGGACTAAATATTGAGGCAATATAAATCTCCAACTTATTTGTATGTGTCGCCGATTTAAATTTATACTCACCTGAATAATATTCTGGCGAAATTCTTTTGGCCCTGTGCGTATCGAATGAGCAATTTTCTCCAAATTCAGCTCTTCGCGTGACAAATGCGTGTCATACAGATCCCACAATTGTGGCTCAATATCCCCGGCATCCAGCTTAATCGTCGCCAGAGGAATAACTGCCATCGCCATACCGCTGCAACTGATCTGGCACTGCAACATCCGCAGTTCATCACACAGCGGTGCCAAAGCGTCGAAGGACGCCGCCATACGCCGGGTGATTGCCCCGGCTATCAGGCTATACTCGGCCGTTATATAACGTTCCCAGTTGATCTCCACGTCCAAGAAGATGAGCTGTTTAATGTGGACATGTCGCAGCATCCAGCCAATCACCGTCAAAACATTCTCCACGTCTTCGTCAGTCACGTGCTCCACAATCAGCCATTGCGTTGCGCTGCTTACGAACTTGAGTAAACCACCCACAGCGCCGCACACCCTCTTCGCTTTCCGTGGAACGAACGGGTTCGTTGCAAAGGAAATACGAACCGCTTTGCCGCTGTCCGCGTTGGTCAAGATGGTATTCCACAATGGACACACGCGGCGCAGTTTCTCGCGGGTGATGGTGTCCATTGAGTCGAAGATGTCGCGCAAGAGATGCATTTCCGTGGGAATCACGCTGACCGTAAGCGGCTGTGCACTGTTGTCTCCGGGGTTTTTGCGCTTCTTACTGACGTTCAAGGACAGCCGGTCTAAACCGATTTCCCTTGCCTCCAAGTTTGCAGTGGCTTCGCGGATCGTCTCGCACTTCTTTTTCTGTCGCACAGTAGACGAAAACATTAGTGAATTAGAGACACGCGCAAATAAGATTCAAATAAAAAACAAGGAACAACCTAAAGTGCATTCAAAAATTTTTTCAAAGAACACTTTGCGGAGAGGGCGCGGAGAGCATATCCTGAATGTATTCCATGCCGGTGTCATCGGTCGTTTTCAAAGGATAACAAACATTATTAAAGAAGAAAGGAAAGTAAACCATTAAGTGGCCGCTTCGCTCCGCCTTTGCAGTTAGTAAAAAATTTTTCCTTTTTCTGTTCCTAATTTTTCCTTTCTTCTGAAGTGTTAGCATATCATTTATCGTAGTGCCGCACGTACCACTATCTTTTCCGTCAATGGTTTCCCATCAATTCGTTGGAGAAACGTCAGCATCCCGTTGTCAATCGACACAATACGCACACGCTGTGTCGTCTCAATTCGCTGACGAAAGCGATCGGCGAACCCGGATGCGATCGGCGAACCGAAATTCGTCGGCAAACGGCACTCTCTCAGCACGAAGGCGTTCGGCTGCAGCGCTCGTTTGGCTAGACATTTTTGCGAAAGCCGGAAACGCACCTGGTCGAGGTAGACCAGTTCAGCGTGTTTCCAATTACCACGCTCCATTTGGACAATCAACAACCCGGTGTTGCCGGGAGGCAAGTACATGGCCGGACTGAGGAGCCGGCTGCGATACCACAACCACGGAGAACCCGGATGCGAGCGATACAGCACTTGCACGCTACCGTTCGCCGCTGACAAGCCTAGATGCTCCAATTCTGCGTATGTATCATCGAATTTCGTGGAAGACGGGGCTACGGAAGAGTGGAAAATTTTGTCGTAGTTGACCGTTTGCGCTCGCTGACCGCTGCAGTGGAAATCCACAACCAGCCCCTTCTCCGCCACGTTGATCACTTCGCCGTGCTGGAAGAGTCCGCTCTTCGTCAGCACATCTACGGAATTCCACTGGTAAACGGGACAATACCCTGTTTCACTTTCTCCATACAGGAGCATTTTTAGCGACCACAAGGCACTGTATAACTGTTCTGCTGTTAACAAAGTATGGTATTAGAAATCGTGGTTGCCTGATGGGTGACAGGAACACTAGAAGAAACCGATAAAAATTCGTTATTAGGTAGCTGCATAAAGCATAAGAAGTGGATGGTCCTGTACAATTTCCAAAATTAATTGTAGCTACACACTGACACACTCTTCTCTCAGTGCAGCTGCACTGAGAGAAGAAGACATTGTACGTATGGCACTCAGATTTCAGCTCTTTCTAAGCGGTACTACCGGATATTACCCCAAACCGGACTTTGATCACTAAATGAATTTCAGCAGGTCATGAATATTTTGGTCACAAGGCCCAAGGCTGTCTGAACTCTGGTTTGACACTTTTGTTCCGTATCGTATTCTAGCAGCAAGCACTAAAGTCGGCATGTGGATCACAACCGGAATGTTTTATTTCAATCGACCAATTTTGTGCAGCATTAGGATGCGAGTTCTAATTGCAAGCTTTGGTCAGCAGAAGAATTACAGCCGGGCACAAGGTCGTCCCTGACGGAAATGGCGTTTGGCGTTGGTGTTTGGCGATGTTAAGTATGTACTGCGCACTTTTATACCTACTGCTGAGTGATGTTATTGTGTGACCCGTACAGGTTGCCATTAAATTAGCAGTCCACAGCCGGCTCGCACATTACTCTAGCCATTTGCAAATAAAACCGAATTTTTCACAAAAACATCAAATTTCCGGCACGAAAATAAAAGAAGACAGCAGTGCACACACTGCCCAGGAGAGATTTGTTGAGGCTGGTAATATAGGTTTACACATCTTCCATCATATCTTCGGGAAGGACTTCCTTCAGGGCGCGCAGAGTGAGGATGGTCAGCTTGGAGACATCCAGATCTTTCAGATTCTCCACCGTCCACTCGTGATCGCGATACTGCGTAGTTAAGCGCGGATCGCTTCTTTGCCATTCATTGAGGTACTACACAGAAATAAATTCTTAAACCAAATATAACTACTGCACTAGTACAGATACTTTAATTACTGTACGATTAATTGATTACTCGTACAAATGTAAGCTAACAAAGTACGCTTGCCTGCACTGTACAAACTTCCCCAATAATTTCCCAGTACATGTAATGATGTACAGATATTCATAAATGAACAAGAACATATTGCTTAAATGAAACAATATTCATTCAAACAATATTTTCTTGTACCAGATAGATTCGTTTCAATCTTAATGATTTTAAATTCTTGACAGTAAACTACGGCCGAATCGGCGATTGATTTTCGACTGACGAGGACATATCAGCAAACCAACCAACCACAATTTTTTATTGGCATTGTACCTTCGCAATCATCGTGCGAAGCGCTTCCGATCCTGTGCGAATCCACTCCATCGTTTCCTCAAGATTTATTTCTTCACGAGGCAGATTAGTCTCATACAGATTCCAGAACTGCGCTTCGATGTCCGCGGCATCCGGTTTCATCGCCGCATGCGCAACAACCACGGTCATCTGCTGGAGGCAGTTAATATCGCATCGGCGGAGTCGGATTTCGTCGCAGCTGGGTGCCAAATTCTTGAAGTACTTGGCCAGGCGCCGCACCAGTGTGCTGCCATCGCCCTTCACCTCCGCACCATCCACATCGCCGCTGCTGACGTACTGCTCCACGAAACGATCGTCCCACACGAACTCCACGTTATGGAAGATAAGCTGTTTGAGGTGCTTATCGCGCAACACCCATTTAATCACCGCCAGTGCACCGTCCAGATTCTCCCCGCACAACGCCTCAACGACTAACCGTTGCGTTGAACCGGTAGCGCACTTCAGGAGACCAGCGACCGCCCCGTACACGAAGGTGAAATTCTCCCCTTCCAGAGGGAAAAATGGGTTCCGGGAAAAGGAAACCCGGACCGTTTTCGCACTGTCCGCGTCGCTCAGAAGGTCATTCCACAGCGAACATACGCGACGCAGTTTCACGCGGCGGACGCTGTCCACTGACTGGAAGATCTCGCGCAGGAGATGCGGCGTGGTGGGTAACAGACGCTCCTCCTCCGGCTGTGCATCGTCGTCAGGGTGCTTGCGCTTTGCGGGTAATTCGATCGCGCTAAGGGATTCCCGCCCTGGAGCATCCTGCTCCTGCATTTTCTGAAGCTGTGCAAACGCCATCCGGCTCGACTCGTACCTAGTTGCCTAACAACACAACGCACGATAAAAAAACGGCCTATTTGGCTCATATTTATCTAACTAAGTTGAACCAAAAACATTCCCAGAAAAAGACGCAGCTAATAAGTACGCACGAGTATACGTACTTAGTACTCTGTACTGTCTTCAGTCAAAAAATTAGCGCTACGCAGGAAAAGTTGCAGACACAATTCCAACTATCAAACCGAAGAAATAACCGGTTCATTTTAGTTGTAAATTCAAATTGTAATTCCTAGTTTCTTACAAAACCCGATTTAAGCAACCACTAAAATTACGAATCTGGCTGACTTGGAAAAAAATTTCGAAACGTATTCCATAGGGATAAAATTCGGAGCGATAAAAATGTCAACTTATAGTGCGACTAGAATGGTACAATATAAATCAATAATACACATTAAAAATACACACAATTCCAAATGAATAAATAAATCATTCAAATTGAAAAAATAAGCCATCTTTATTACCAATCACTGCAATCAATAACAAGTAAATAACTTTACTAATCCCCGATGTTCCTCATTATTTCCGTACGAGTATGAACCAAGCATAAAAAAGAAAACCGGTAAAATCGGAAAACTTGTACTGTAAAGTTTATTTACATTTTACAGTACATACGCATTACGCACCACATCCTTCTCTGTCAGGGGCTTCGCGACCGTTCGCTGCACATACTTCAGTGTTTCGCTCAAGATCGACACAACCCGAACCCCCCTGTTGAAAAACTGAAGGTGTTCCCGAAAGTGATGACATGCCATAGGCGTGGTGTTCGACCAAAAACTGGCAGGCAGACGCTGTTCTCGCGCAGCAAAGCATCCCTGTTTCAGTACTCGTTGGACCAGATCGCCCTTCGACGGCGAAATACGCACTTGATCAGCGGAGAACAATTCCGGTAGCTGTCGACCATCCAGCTCAACTTCGGCCAACACGAGGCCGATATCATCAAAGGGGAAGAAGAAAGCACGATGCAGAAGCCGTCCAGGGTACCACAGCCACGCGGCACCCGGATGAGAGCGCCACAGCACTTGCACGCTGGCATTCTGCATGAGCGAGCGATTCCACTGCAGTTGGTGCAGCCAGGTTTGGTACGGCACGGAACCGGGGGCGACGGCAGCGTTAAAAATTTTGCCGTAGCTAACGAACTGCGCTCGCTGTTCGTTGCAGTGGAAATCCACGATCACACCGTTCTCCATTACGTCGATCACGTCCCCGTGCTGGAAGAGTCCGCTCTCCGTCAGCACATCCACGGAGTTCCACTGGTGCACCGGATGAAACTGAAAATTCTTCTCTCCATAGAGGTGCATTTTCAAAATCTCCCAGCTACTAAGTAACTGTAAAACCAGTGGAAAATCTAATTCTGAAGATGATTTAGACGGAGATGGCCCACTCCGTTTCCTTCAAAATCGACTTTAACTTTTTCGTACAGTAAAAATGTAAAATTCAGCAGACTACGTATCGAGCGGCGCTACGCAACCTTTCGCACGGCATTAAGGAAACTACAACAAGGTTACCAAGAGACAGGGTAGGAGTTACTACAAGGAAAAGAAGTCTGTTATCACAGACGTCATCCGATACAACTGGCCTACTAAGCCTGTGTTGCGCCGGACCGCCCCATGATGGCGATCACTGGATTTAATGTACCAGTACTCTTGAATTGTGTGAAATCTGATTTTCGAGTACGTAAGAAAAACTTTCTTCATACATGTTCTTCCATAACGTGGAATTGGTAAGGGACGATCGATTCACAGAGGAACACCCCAGCAGCAGTGATGTGGATGTGGCGGAAGTGTGGGATGGGGGCAACAACGCGCTGTTGCGACGCCAGGCGACGGACTTTAAGAATTTGGAGCCGAACTGCGGTGAAGTGAAGTCCGACTGCGCTCATGCGAGATTACTCTAACTGCTTTGCAGCCAATGAGCGCGGTTGTTCCGCATGCGACCATTAAACCGAATGTAGTGAATGTAGAAGCGCACCTCTGGAATTTGTAGGACGCTGCGTTTTCTTGATTGCCGGAAACTGTTCACCGATGCGACAATTGTTTTCAGTTATTTTGACAGTACAGTACTAAAAGTCACAATCTACATGTTGGATTACCATTGTACCAGGCTAACAGGAAGCAATTCCGTGCAAAAAAGCAATGGTTAGGGGAATTTTGAATCTGTTTTGAAAGGTCACCAGTATTTGAGAAAGTTTGCTTATATAAAAAACTTGGCTAAATCCTTAAGGGTGCTGTAAACGTCGTTTTCCTCAGTCAACTGAATTACGGTTTTGGCGTGCTTAAACGTCGACTTTTCAATTAGTTAAATCGGACTTGCCTGGATTTTTAAATTAAGAAAGCAGAAAGTGAAATCACTGTGAAATCTTACTTTAATGATGTCCAGCCGTAAATAGCTTCGTAATTATCGCCCTGAATCCTTGAGCACAAATTCCTTCAGAGCGTGAAGAGTGATGGTGGTCAACTTGGCTGCAGCCACATTCTGGATATTCTCCCCCGTCCATATGTGGCCCCGATACAGCGTCGTCAACTGCGGATCTCCACTCTGCCAATCCGTGAGACATTGCAGATAAACTAACTATTTAAACACTAAATTAACAATTTAAATAAACAAAAAAGTTATTAGTACTTTCTGCCGCGTTTTACTGTTTACTTACAACATGCGCATTTCGGAATGCTGCATCGGGTGGGACCAGTTGGGAACGCTGTCCGCTGCAGCGGAAATCCACAACCAGACCGTTCTCCACTACATCGATCACGTCACCGTGCTGATAGAGGCCGGCTTCTGTCAGCACATCCACAGTTCCACTGGTGAACGGGATGTGACTCAAAATCTTTTTCTCCATACAGGTGCATTTTCGAAATTTCAGAGAACAGACAACTAGAAAATTATTGGAAGGCAGAGAGCGGGAACGAAATCAAAAGATAGAAATGTCTAACAGCCGCCAACTGTTAACCCGTTGACGGGCATTGGCGTCAGGACGCAACATGGTCTTCTGATTTTTTTCCCAATGACTGGGGACAGCCAATGAATATCAATTAGCATAATTAGCAATAAGAGACTTTAAAGCAGCAGTAAAAACGTAATTCAAACTTATATCTCAAGTTATTTACAAATGACCGTTGCCCGAAAATGGCTAATTTCGGGCTTTTCAAGCTCTCGTAGATCTTGCCAATTAACTAATTAGTGGATGAATAATTAAACCAGAGATAAATCAACAAAGTACAACTAACAACGTTCTATCCAAAGTCAATTAACACGGGTCTCGTAAGTTGAACCGTAGAAGACCACAGTCCGTCAAAAATTTGTGTTGCGTGCCAACACCATTGCCCATGAAGGGTCTCAGATACACGGACGGGTGCAATTTCGACTGTTTCTCTATATCACATAATTAGATCAAGTTACTGTCGGTTCGTACGCAAAACATGCGCCACGCGGTTCTGTTGGTCGGAAGCTGGCAAAAAACGCTTTTGCGTATCAACACCCCGGGCGGTCGGCGAAAAGACAAAATCGTGCCTAAATTTTTCGGCTTCTGGAAAACAGAACGCTTAGAGGAACCGAACATGATAGTCCCAATTATAATTCTATACCGTCGTTGCAGTAACACCGTGAATGGCGGCACAACACCACGCGCTTTGCCCCGTTTCTACATATTGATGCATTGCTTGGGCAAGATAGGCGAGAGCTGCACAGCTTTGCAGAAACATGAATTTTGTTCGATCAGTCTCGGGCGGTTGAAAACTACAGTAACTGCACACTGTACGCGTGCACATTGGGGATCTTGACCTTTGCGGCAGCCTAGCTAGTTTCTTCCGGTCGCTAATGCGTTTCCAAAGGTGCTAGTGACAAGTGACCGCTAATATCTCGTTTTGCGCCAATAACCACTGTAGCTGGACTATCCACGCCGCATTTTTGGACAGTGGCACATGCGGCCATACCAAGGAAAAATGCAAACGCGCACCATGCGGGCAGTATAAAGGGGTGGTAGGCGTGCCAGACATTCGAGAAATGCAATGTTAAACCCCAAAAATAATGCTTCGTGCAGCCTCGTATGAGAGTATAATGAAAGTTATGGGAGAGAAATATCGTTAGCATAGTTTATTTTCTGTATTTGATGAGTGAAATGCCATTTCACTGAATGGCAAAATCACCCCCCCGGGAATATTCACCCAGGGCCCCCCATAAAAATGTTAAAATTAATAAAAAATAAATTTATTTAATCCATTAAGAAATTTTTAAAAAATGTACGTCTATACTGGTGCTGTATGCACATCCGTATGTTCAGCGTATCAGCCAACACTGAGCTCCCTTGCCACGGTAAGGCCCAAATGGACTGCGCCCTATGGTCAGCTTGGACTTTATCCTACGCTAGACTGTCATTCTGCGCAGTTCACATTTGCGGTCAGCTTGGACTGTGCCCTGCTGTCAGCTGTAATCCTACGAATTTCGTATTCATGCGAACGAGTAAAATCAGCGGGAGAACTTCAGTGGAATTACGGGCCAATATAGTTTATAGTGGTCTGAGATAATAAATATGCACATTATGTTACTTGTAGATATGCAATAAGACTGACAGCTGCGCACAGGTTTTGATAAAATCCGTTGTCCTGAGCCTCCATGCGGATAAATGAGGTTATAGTATGTTCATATGTTCAACGTATTTGATGATTTCAGTGATACCGCATGTTGTTTCTTGTCTGCTTTTCAATGCTGATGGAATGTACTGTATGTTTACATATTTCTTACTCATTAAGATCATAAGAATCCAGCTCTCAAGCAACACTTACCCGAATACAGCATGAACACATTATGGCTGATAACGGCTTGCTATGCTGACCACACAGACATGCTAACCGCACACACGCAGCACGTACGTGTATGTAATCACAATAGGCAAACATCACTCGATCTGAAGACCATGTGCGCTTGCAGTCGGTTAATGTTTTGTCAGGAAGTTCACAGTTGTTGTAAATGGTAAAGAGGTTCTTCATCGTAACTGTTTACAAAACCAATATTCAAGCATTCGAATATCAAAATGTGGATTATTTTGTGTTTCGTCTGTCTTCTTGCCGTCTCTGCCGGATATCCATCATGTCCAGAAAGCTGTTCATGCGAAGGGAAGGTTTGGAAGTGCGAAGATCCCCACATGACTTCGTGGCCGCTTGATAACCAGCCATCACTTGTCGTACGTGGTGTCCATGTTCTGGATCTGTCGGGATCTGGAGTGGACGTTCTCCCGAACTGAAACCCGCATAATTTCCCAGATCCGAAACTGATTGTTTTGTCTGACACTGTGTTTGACGGAGAGCGATGTCGTGAGCTGGAGTGCCTTCAGAATCTTAAGATTCAGGTTGTCTCCAGCTGCGGTAAAGGTAGGTTTACATGCGAAATTATTTCGTTTTGTGTATTCCGTTTTCTTCTTACCTTTGCACAAATGTACTGTACTGTTACTTTGCACTTGCTGAAAGTTTCACTGGCTCATCCTGACGTATATTGTACGGAGCATCCACTCTCTGTTCATGATTCACCCACTCAGCGTGGAACTACGTACAGGCTTCTGGCTACTAACTGAACGCAAATTGAGTCAACCTTATAAAATTACAGTACCGTACCGGTCATACAGCAAATAGCGGGAATAAATACATCTGCGTAAATAAAAAATGTATTTCATTTATTTTCAACTTTTAAATAGACATCGCTGATGTTGATAGTATTATTTGTTCGACCAAATAATTATTGGTAAAGAAGCGAATAATCACACTTACTCAAAGATAGTCAAGTACTGTACATATTTGTTTTGCTTTGGCTTTGTGCCAGATTTACGGAAGGGATGTTCGACTGCCCCCTGCTGTTCATGGACGTCTTTTCCCCCGAAGTGGTCTACACAAGCACCCCGAACGCCTTCTGCAGAAACCGCGTCCACCCGTGAACCTGCGCTGCCGGATCGTCAGTACACACAACGACCAGTGCCGCCGATTACGATGGTTACCGGTAAGCGTATGATTCATCCTACACTCCCCGTCTCCAGTGCAACACGTCAGCATTATTCACTGAGCAGCGCAAGTGTGACACGTACGACTACATCACGACCGTACAGAAAGAGTGTGGAAAAAGGCAAGATTTCACATACTGCGCGATACACACAAATCGGAAACGTGGGTACGACTGAGCAGCCACACCATACCACAGCACATAAAATTGAATATGGCGAAATTTATCAGCAATCGACCAACATACCTTACACGCCGGACAATCTGCTCTCATCCAGCACGTATATTCCAACATCACTGATATTTGTTATCATTGAACGCACGGAAAAACCGCAAATAACTACAACGGTATTTAACCGGGCTTCGAGACCACCCGATTACACATTGGCTCGCGTTGTGCCATCAACCACTTTACTGGGAAATCCA